TCTCGCTCTTGCTCAGGCTGGTCTCGAACTCCTGAGCTCAAGCAATCTGCCCGCCTTGGCCTCCCAGAGTGCTAGGATTACAGGCATGAGCCACCGCGCCTGGCCGCAGGTTTTTTTTTTAAAGAATATATGTAAGTGAACTAAGGCTGTTTCCCTCTTCATCTGCTGTCACCCATTAAAAGGTTTTTATATATTTCTTTGTTTACAGCTTCAGAACTGGCAAAAACACCAAGAAAAAGTGTTTCATTCAGTTTGAAGAATGATCCTGAAATTATGATAAACATTCCTCAGAGTAGCAAAAGTAAGACATTATCTTTGAAAGGAGTTTTCATAGTTGCTTCAAGTTAGAGATTACTTTTTTCTTGTCTATGTGATTTTTAAATATTCTTTTCTATTCTGAAAATTCATTTAGTAGAGTATAGTTAATACTCTAACCTGTGTCCCTTAGTGTATCCATATCTAGCAGTCAATAAAAGGGGAAGATATCTGTGCTAATTGAAGTTGTGCAAGTTGACAGTCCCAACTAGAAATAGCCTTTAAGTCCCATTGCCATTTGCTTGAGTTACAGTTGTTCATGGAAGATTTGGCTTTGGCAAATATTATATGAAATAAGGCTTTTGGGGTTTGGAAGTTCTATAGATTGTAGAGAACTGTGGAGCAGCTGTTTTAAATGACCCATTCCAACTAGGTTAAACAGTGTATTTTTTTATCTTCATTTATTTTTTATTAGAGATGGGATCTTGCTATATTGCCCAGGCTGGAGTGCAGTGGCTATTCACAGGTGTAATCACAGTACTCTGCAACCTCGAACTCCTGGGCTCAAGTGATCCTTACTCAGCCTACTGAATAGCTGGGACTACAGGCATGCACCACTGAGCCCAGTCCTTGTGTACTTTCAAAAATAAAAGGGGCCACTCACTCTAGCCCGGGCAAAAGAGTGGGATTCTGTCTCAAAAAAAAAAAAAAAAATACATAAAAGGGGCTCCATTTTCTCTTGTTAGAATGCTACAGAAATGCAGGAAGTAGCTGTAATTAATTGAGAGTAATCATGTAATTAATAGTGATAATTCTGTGGAGTGATATATCTAGTGGAGATATAATTAATTAAGGATTCAATAATATGTGGTAGCCTCTGTGTAGAAGCTGCACCTTTGTTTTTAATGAAACTAGACCATGATGAAAAATGAAGTATTTATAGTAAGTCATGGTTTTTTGTTTCATTCTTTAGACCATTCTGCTTCAGACAAAGTTCAGCTGAAGGTAAGCAATTGACTCAAAACAAGCAAAACCTTTAGTGTTACAAAGTAAGACATGATAGCCAAAAATTCATGAAAAATTTCGTCTCTTAATTTATAGAGTGCTTTGTAATTTACAGGTATTTGGCAGTTAAATACCTAACTAATAAATGGAGAATTTGAGGTTCAGAGAGAGGTGAAGTGCCTTGCCTGAGTGCATCTAACTAGCAAAGAAAAAAGCTAGAAAATGAAGCCAGGTCTTTTGGACCCAGCTGTTGTGCTTTTTTTGCTGTGTGAGAACTATCCCTGGGTGACACTTTAGGCCTGATGATTTGGAAAAAAAAAAAAAAAAAAGAACTATCCCTGGGTATTTTTGACTTAGTGGAGCTGGCCTGGAATATTTGGGGTTTGGTTTTGTTTTGTTTTGCTTTTATATATAATGTACTGTTGTTTCTTACGGGAGGTCGATCTCAAGATCCATTAAATTCATTACTCCATCCTTTTATAATTTACATTTGAAAACTAAACTGTTTTAGGTAAATTCATTCCAAGGTATCTAAAAGAAATTGACAAATTTTATCTCATCTTTTGTGTTTTTGTGGTTTTATTTTTTTCATTATGCCTTGTCAAATGGCCCTGCCTGGATTTGGGCAAGCCCAAATAGGCATAGAGGAATTTAGGGCATTGAGTATGTGGGTGGTGAGTGTGTCCAGCCCTGGGCGGCAATAGGTTTAGATATGCCTGGTCTTATGTACAGACTAAGTTAAGCAGACCCCTTAGATAAGAATGTGAGTGTAAGTATTTATGGCCTGTGCAGAAATGTCTTATTTAGTCAAGTCTAGGCGTGAGATTAGACATGTCAGAATCTCCTTTGTCTTTAATAATGCTTTTTTCCTAGATTATGTCTTGTATATTGTATCACTATAAAAGAAAAAAATTCACTGCCATAATCCATTCAAGAATTTAGATACATTAGAGCATTCTTTCTCAAGTTGTAGGTACAGTCCATGAGTAGATCTTGTCAGCTGTTCTAAAAGACAGTCAGAAAACCTGTTGCTCAAACAAGGCTACACACTGCAATAAGAGACAACATCACCGTGACAGTCTTAGTGTACTGTCTTAGAAGACCCAAGTTCAAGAGAAAATATGTATAGGGCCTAGGGATCCTGTGCTCAAATGCTGTAAGGAAGGTTTTTAAGATGAGGAACTAATTGATATTGGGCAAAGTTGGGGGCATGATGCTTTAGCATAGGTAGACACAGTTAGAAGTGGGTTTTGAAGTATGTCTTGATAACTAAATGGTTGTTTAATAACATAAACAAGCTGTTTGCCCTGGGGAGTAATCTGTTTGCCAGATGAGCAAACTGTCACGATACTGTCTTTTTAAGCAAGAATTTTCTAAAACGCTTATTTTGTCATGGGTGTTCTGAGTCCTCAGGCTTGAATTAAGCTATATACATGCAAATTGTCCCAGTTCTCAACCTTGAAACCAGTTTAGTAGAATACAACCTGAACTTTAAAAAGTGAAATAGAACAGAATTTAAAATCTCTATTTTGTAAGTATTATTTTATCACAATTTTTTTCAGTTATATATATATACACATGTGTACTGGATCAAGATGGCAAAATGTAAAGATAAAATCTTGATCAAAACAATTTGAAACGTACTGTAAACCCATTGGTAAGGGATCAGCTCAATTATTATAGTACTATTCTCAATATCCCAAATCAAATTCTATTGACATTTGTAACTAGCACCAACAGCCTATCACAAGATGATAGACTTAAATTTTTTGCATATTTTCATATTGTCAAACACAATGTACTTTATCTTTCTATCAGTACTGCTAGAAATTAACATTATATAACAGTGGACATTTTAATGTGCTAGAAATTTAATAGTGTTAAAGTATGTGAGAAGAAAATATACTTTGTACTTCTATAAAAATTTTAAAATTTTTTAAATGCAGAAAGTAAAAACGTATAAATCTCTGTTTCTCTCCTCCTCATAGAAAGTAATACTTTAATGTCAGTAAATTTCTAGCACATTAAAAGGTCCATTGCATATACATAGAGGTGCCCATTTTCACTGCACATTATTTCCTTTCTAAAAAACATGCTACTAATCTGATAGGTGGAGAGTGGTTCAAAAGGCTGATATACTCATGGTTTTTCTTTACATAATAAAAGTATATACATACTTTACAAGTGTCTGGAATTCAATTTCTAGAGTCACTCTAGGAATCCTTTGGAATTTGTTACGTTGTTTGTTATGTTGTTTTGTTGTCAGACTCTTTATTTTTCTTTCCAACATTCATTTGTCGTTATCTTCTAGTTCTAGGAATTAGGTTCATCTAGTTGTAATTTAGTCTGTTGAAAGCAAAATATTTTTCTTCTTTTCTAACCTGTTCTACTCAGATCAGTCATTAATTTTTATATTATTAACTACTTAACTATTATGCTTTTTGTTTTTAAACAGAACAATGACAAAAGTGAATTTCAGTCAACACCTCGTAGTCTAAGAAAAAGATTAATAGGTATGTATTTCTTTTTACATGAAGATTTTATAAAAAGTAACATCTAAACAAAGGGCGATAATAGTTACGTGTACAAATTCTAGACTTAGACTGCTTGGTTTTGGCCTGCTATTTACGGGTACCTCTCTGTGCCTCAATTTTTCATTCGTAAAATAGGTATAATGATGGTACCAGCCTCAGAGTTGTTTTGAAGATTAATTGAAAGAAAGGATATCAAAAGTGCTTAGTGTAGTGCTTGACCTTGGTATGAGCTTAACAAGTATTAGCTATTATTATCTTTTATTGTAATAATTACTATGACTACTTATTGCTATGTCTTTTCATGAAAGAAAGGATGTGCTCATGTCCTCAAAGTATAGATTCCTTAACGACAAGGACTGTATCCTATCTTTATAAATCCAACATTTAGCACTATGTCTTTCACATTATAATTAATGGATATCGAAACCAATTAAAACATCTCTCCAATAAAATAACATGCCTTTTAGTTTATTTGTTTGGAAGTGGTTGTATTGATTTATTTAGAAATTTTTTAATGAAATAATATTAAGTATTCATAGTTGTACTGAATGCCATACAGAGTCAAGTAAACAGACATGGGTCCTGCCTTCTGGTAAATTAAAAATGGTTTCAGATTTTGGAATATTTAACTTTGGGGCAAATGACTTGTTGACCTTTATATTTCTTTTTGTTTGTTTGTTTTTCCTTAAACTCAGTGGTGAGAATGACCTTTATATTTCAGAAAAATGTCAACCTTTTTCTTGGTGTTGACCCCTTAGGAGTAATAATACTAGCTAACATTGTTAAATTCAGCCAAACATTGGGGCTTCATCCTGTACCCCTTTCTTTTCAAGGTATGAATTTCATAGAGCTGTTAAAACTATATTTTTAATCACCATAAAAATTATAATGCTAAATGACTGGGTATCTGAAGCAGTAAAAGATAATATATGCAATTATGATTATTATTTCCTGTCAAATATGTCCCATGTTTTGTTTTCTCCTTACCCCAAAGAACAGACCTCTTTAGAGAGAAGGTGAGCTTCCCTCTTCCTTGGCAATCACCAGGAAGCATACATGGCTACATGGAGGGAGGTATACTTGTAAATAAGGGAGAGGCATTTTCTGGAGCCTGCTACCACTTTTAAGCTATGCATATACCATAGGCAGCAGTCAATGCACACCTTAATCTGCTAAGCTATATGTGCCTGCATTCCTACAAATTCAAGCCTCTTTTTTTTTTTAAGAGAGGGTCTTGCTCTGTTGCGGGCTAGAGTGCAGTGGTGTCATTGTAGCTCACTGCCACATCAAGCTCCTGGGCTTAAGTGATTGTTCTCCCTCAGCCTCCTGAGTAGCTAGGACTATAGACTCACACCATCATGCCTGGCTAATTTTTTTAAAAATTTTTTGTAGAGACACAGCCTTGCTTTGTTGCCCAGGCTGGTCTCAAACTCCTGGGCTCAAGCGATTTTCCTGTCTTGGCCTCTCAAAGTGCTAGGATTACAGGCGTGAGCCACTGTGCCTAGCCTTTTTTTCTTTTTTAGTATCTATATTTGTTGTATGTTGACTCTGGATAATCCTCTGAAATATATCTGATGTTCAAAATAAACGTATCCGTTAAAATTACTTCATTCATATTTTGGAAGTTAACTTTTAAAAATAGTTTTGTAACTGTTAAGTGTCAAAACTAGCTTCATCCTTATTTGATAAGTATAAAACTAGGTTTATTTCTGGGGAGTGATGGAGGTGTGTTTGTGGTTTGTTTAAAGATATAATTCTTGAAATCAACTTTGGGATAGAGTGTATGTATTAGTAATAACGTTAGCTACCATTTACTGAATGCTGTATTATTAATACTGGGATGGTGTTCTCAGTTGGCAGCAACAGAAAATTCCACAGTAGTGGTTTCAGCCATGGACATTTAAGTATCTCACATCATAAGAAGCACAGAGATCCAAATTCCATGGTTGATATAGTGACTCGACAGTGTCATTAAGGATCCAGGTTCTTCCTGTCTTTTTACTCTGCCACAAGCGTTTTTCATCTTTAGGTTTGATACTTCCTATTGCAATGAGGCTTTCATAGCTTTAAGCTATGAGTGGAAATAGGGGCTTTTTTCTTCTATAAGTGAGGAAAGTCTTTCCCAGAAGCTTCCAGCTAACTCCTCTCAAGTCTCATTGGTCAAAGGGTTACATAGCCAACTCTAGTTGCAAGGGAAGCTTGGAAAAGCAAGTATATGGCAGAAGGAAAAGACACTTATCATGATTCATCCTCCAGGGTGGGGCATATTGCCACATTTTACAAAAATGGAGTTCTTTGAGCAAGGAAGAAGGAAGGAAAAGTGTATTAGGTATGACTGACAGTTTCTACCATGGTTCCTGTGTGTCAGACATTAATAGTTACTTTATGTACATTTCAGTGTAATCTTTACAGTGGTTTATTCAATTAGGCACTATTAGTCTCATTTGCTAAATGAAGAAACTGGTGCTCAGAGAATTAATTAACTAGCTCTGGTGAAATCAGGAGCAAGGAATAACAAAACCAGAATGCAGGCTGGGCGCGGTGGCTCACGCCTATAATCCTAGCTCTCTGGGAGGCCAAGGTGGGCGGATTGTTTGAGCTCAGGAGTTCGA